GTGCATGTGATAAAGAAACGATATAACAGTCTAAATACACATATTATTGTAAATAATTTTAGTATAAGTGTTAATAATTCTAGAGGTTTTGAAAATATGTTGTTAGAAATGATGAAATTGTAAAATAAGTTTAGGAACACTGTAAGATAAATATGCAAATAATTTATTTAATCAATAAATTGAAATATACAACGTAACGTTATAAAACTCATGATTTACATAAGGACTTCGAAAAACCCCTTGAACTAATAGAAACAAAATGTTAGAACTCTAAGATCAGTAACATGAGCATACAATTCACTTAACAATTAATGAACTGAAGGGCTTGATCAAATGTTTGAGTGTATTTTTTCCAACATGACATTCAATATAAATTGTTCAACACATTCAAGAGAAAATTCAGATGAAAAAGTGAATAAAATATTACATCTATCTCAGAATGCTGAACATGTACGAGCTGAAAATGTATACAACACAAGCAATAATCGCATTTTCCTTTTCCTTAGGTTTTCTGACAACAAATTTGGCTTACAAAAGAGTTGAAAGTGTTTAGATGTTTTATGGAGAATATCTAAGGCCTTAAGATTTGTTTGTTTGTTTGTTTTTGGAATTTCGCGCAAAGCTACACGAGGGCTATCTGCGCTAGCCGTCCCTAATTTAGCAGTGTAAGACTAGAGGGAAGGCAGCTAGTCATCACCACCCACCGCCAACTCTTGGGCTACTCTTTTACCAACGAAAAGGCCTTAAGAAACTCTTCAACTGTATATGTATTACAGCAATGCTTTTATCCTTTGATTATGTTGTATGAAAATTGTATTATTATCAACCAATATAAAATGACACCAATTTCTATAATCGTAACATTTTTATTTTCTCAGTGTACTATTTCTTTATTATTTTATTTGGTAAGTAGAAGCACGACATTAATCATATAGCTTGTATTTAGGCTGTATATATTTACATGTGTAAGTATGCACTATTCTGTTTAGTCGTGTTCGATCTCTGTGAATCATAATGGGGCCTATGAACCTCCCGGTGTATATAGGGTATGCTATGCTAGTCTACAGTGAATATCGGGTATGCTATGCTAGTCTACAGTGAATATCGGGTATGCTATGCTTGTCTACAGTGAATATCGGGTATGCTATACTAGTCTACATAATTAGCAAAAGTTGCTAGAAGTATAACTTACTCAATGTACAGACCAATCTCCTTCATTGTCCCCATTTACTTGTATAGCTAATACAAGGAGTGGAGGTCCCTACCCAATACAAAAAACTCGTTAGGGCACCAACCCATGATACGTAAGCACGTTTGCCAAGTTTCGTCCCGCTAATTTGTGAGAGAGGGGTATGAACAGAGTTTCAAATATGGTGCCCCTGGGATCTTAAGGGGAGACAGAAGCACAAAAATCGATTCCAGATTCAGGTTCAGCCACCCTAAAACCTACTCTTAGACCCCATCATGACTGACTGACCTTACGAGCATGCCTTAACCCCCCTTGATACCCCACCTTTGTAGAGGGGCTAGGCCATATAGATAATGACACACACACACACCCTCCCAAGACCGCCTGCTAAATATGCTTCTGCTCACTCCATAAATGCGGGATGAGTTCGCTGGACAAAGATATAAAGATACATATATACATTTAAAGCTACAAGTTATATTAGTATAGGATAACTTTTTTCACTGATACTTGCCTAACTCTACTCACAGGCTATCTGTGCCAGCCGTTACTAGGCTTACGGAAGTTTGAATATATTGTATTAAAACGACTTTGAACATGCAAATCAGATAGGAAAGTAGCAACCATAACCGATACAAAGTAGCGGTGAAACGGCGTATATTAGAAATACATTTTGAAATTGTATGACGTTTCGTAGGTTGTGTGATGCTACCAAAAACTGATCGCTTTTAAGAATGGTAACAGCCCTCTCCGACACAAAATACGCACTCAAATCTTATCAGATCGGGAATTTAGAATTTCCAGGACGGATATACGCCTTATACGTAATTGTGTTGGAAATCAATGAAATGTAATTCGTGAACCATCCATCAAGAAACCTGCAACATATCTTACCCAGCATTGGCAAGAAAAGTGAGGCGTCTTGTAAAAGATGAGAATACATGAACACAAATTCCAGTTCATGTGACCCAAGCAACAGCACACAACATAAACAAGAAGGATCTACATCTGGAAATGAGTCTCACACTAAGAAAAGACATCCCATAATAACTCCTGTTCAACCATCACATACCTAAAGCAGCTGGAGAATGAAACGAGTATTCATAGTATTCCATACATACGAAAATATACTGGTCATGTACAAGTCGCCTATGGATTTATGTGCAATCGGAATATTGAAACAGACATTGAGAAACCATTGTCCTCTCACACTAAATAGATTATGGAAATCATATAGGAATGAGTGGTGTTCTTTGAATATGACAACCTTTTTCAATAGAAACTACGCTGCAGTATTATTATCACGATGCACGGTCGTCATATAGATTAAGACTGGACGTGGCGACATGGACTGTAATCGTTCTAATATAATGAACTCAATTCTCTGTAGTATGTATAAACATACACTGCTAAGGAAGAAGTTAGGTAATTAATAATAAACATATTAAAACGTTCGTTGTGTGTTTATACATGTCGTGAGGTTTTTAACACTCCGCCAATGTCAAAATTGTTCTTTAAGTGGTTTCATGAAGTCATGGTTCACACAAAATTAATGAGAACCGATTTTTTTCTTTGTAACTACCTTAATCAGAGCGTTTCTTTAGACAGTCCAAAGTTCTTCTTCTTAGCTAATAGATATAAACCTACACTGCATGATTATTGTCAAGATGCACAGTTATAAAGTAGAGAATAGCGTGGAGAAGCTCCAAAATGGTTTTAATGTCACGTACTCGACCTCTGTAAATTGGTAGACTAAAGGGGTGGCAGCTAGTCAACAGAACCCACCGGTAACTTTGAGGCTTCTTTTGTCTGATTGAAAGCGGGATGATTCGATTGTCACCCTTATAACACACCTATGGCCCCAAGATGCAGAATGCAATTTTTTTTTTCTTTGCGGTAACGGATCGCGAATAAGCCACCCACAGTTCGGTACACTAATTAATGAGTCATACTTAGTGCAATTTTACAATTGTTTTCTTTGTCAATTTGGGCAGTACATTCGAAATGTTGACAGTTGTCTTTGGTTATTGCCATATGACAAAAAAGGGTAGTACCATGGTTATATAAGGTGTACAAATTAGCGACTACCATCGATATAGGCTTGTTCATTTCACTATTAACAAGCCTATATCGATGGTAGTCTTGAATGAAAGTGGCCATGTCTAATTAGGTGACATCCAAGCTCATGTATCCCATAAACCTATTGAATATTAAGGTACTGCACAAACACGCAAGCATTAACAACACCTGGAAACAAAAAAGTTCACGAAGATCAGATTTGAAATGCGGATTGGGGGTTGGCATTCGATTAAATACTGAAAAAAAAAATCTGACACCAAAGTGTTCTTTTATTAAGGAGGTGTACCATCTTGTTGCCAATAAAATGTGTGCAAACTAACAAATATTTCTGTAACTTCTTTTTAATCATGGTGATGTAAAAAAAACCATGAAGCTACACAAGCAAGTGTCATAGCAAGCACTCAAATACTTTAAGTGGCTCTTTTGGCCCACCTTATAATTTCTGTTATTCGTCAGTTTTTGAGGTATCATGTGACAGTAAGTTCTAATTTTTACCCGTCTATCGCTGGTCATTTGTATTTTCCAGGTAGATTTGATTGGATCTATTGGGCGCTCTTTTCATTCACTAACATATATTACATAAGGTTATTTCCAAGAATGAAGCTACAAGTATAACTATGTTTTCACCTTCATACAGTTTTATGAAAATAGTCACCACTTGGCTGTTTCTAGGATTATATTTTGCTTCCACTAAACGTTTGTATTTTGTTACTGTGACGTGGGTGACTTTGATATCCAGGGGGTAAGAAATCCTCTAAAATCGGAGAGATTCCGAATAGAAGTGGCTGCTTACAATAATTTGCATCTTTATTTGGCACATTATGTATTGGTAAATCTTGAACGATCTAATTATCATGATTGCAAACAATTCTAAATATACAGAACAGCAGTCTTCACTGTGCTACTATTAAGCTATCAGTAAGTTTCAGTTCAGTATAAGCTTATTTATATGTATATGTTTTACCTGTATTGCTTGTTAAAATCATATATAGAAAGGATAATTTGTATAATTCCAGAAAATATAAATCAGTTAGATGTCGCAATTTGTAAATACATTCTCTTAAGTTGTTTTGATGATCATATGTTTCCTAATTTCTTGTTAAAGATGTGATATATTGCACTTCAATACAAAAGGCAAAACTTACAATTAGAAATACGCTATAATTAATTTTTCAGAGGTGTACTGTTTACTTGTAATAATAAATACGTTAATCTGCCTTACAAAGAGTTTTTGTTTTTTGTTGTTGTTTTTTGCAAAGTTATACACGGGGCTACTACGCTGTGCCCATAGCAGGGATCGAACCCAGAATTTGAGCTTTATAAGCTCAAATTTATTTAAGATGACCTCTTAAATTACGCGGTTTTACAAATAAACCAGTAAAAAAAATTGATGCGTAGAATTGTACGTTTGAAAAGGATGATTCTGGAAGTCCCTGAACTAAACAGTAACATTTAAAAATGGTAAAGTTAGTATTAGCTCTGGAAAATTTAATATAATATTTTGCAAAATAAGAAATGTAATTTTCTTATACCTTAATTTGCGTTTAGCAGAAGGAAGACTGAATTGTAACATTACTTTGTGAATAAGCTCTTGTTCCAATACGGATGTAACACGTTGACCATAAACGACATTACATACTACATACATAAGACACACATAGACAGACAGGTATATATATATATGGACAAAGCTCCTCACTATTTGATCTTATTAGGCCTAGATGTTACTTTGTGAGCATAAACCGAAATGAAAGCGACTGGAAACCTAGAAAAAAAAAGTAATTGCTCTAGTTAGTTTTCTTTACTGTTTACCCAAAATTTCTGACATTTTTTGTTATTGAATGGGCTAATTTTTAGACTTGTTGTGAAAAGGAGGTAAAAGATAGGCATAAACAAACCACAACATCGGAAATAGAAATAGGTTTACAACTTTCGAAAAAAAATATATATTTCCAGGCTCTTGTGTTGTTTAAGTCGCATCTGGCAGTAGACATATCTCCGAAGGTTCAGCAAATATCAAAAGAAAGTGACGTTTATGATGAACTAAAAATAATATTCCTCCTGGTGGACATATCTTGAATATGCAACAAGTGCAAACGAAAGTGGAGCACAAGATGAAGAAAGCAGATATGTTGATGCTCTATCTAAAACCTAATTGAGAAGAAGTTGCAAAATATGAGTTCTTAAAAAGGTACAAAATATTTACTTAAATTCAACACTTGCATAATAATATCTATGTCCATTACAGATTCATACATTTTGCTTTGTAAGTATTAACTGTTATTATCATATACTTTCAAATTTATTGTGAAATACCATTTATTTAACTATTAATCAAAAATATTATTTTGGAATAAAACCTTTTCTATAACAATATTATATATATTTCACGTTACATGCTAATTAGACAGAAAAGTAGAAGAAAAACTACAAAGTAGAATGTGTTTTCTCATTGCCTAACAAAGCTCCACAAATGAATATTTTTATGTTGGTTTTTAGCGTATATAATCTTATATATATAGAACAGTACAAAATACTAATAATTAATGTTATGGATTTATCATATATACCAATATTTTTTAGTGATATACACCATATTCCTAAAGATACCTTATATACATTTAAACTTCCTATAACAAATATGATAATTCAATATTATGCCTGACGTTTGTAAATCGTTACTGGAGAGCCAATATCTTGAGAGTGAAAACACTGTGCTAATAAAACTTTATAAAACAGTTTGTTGTAAAACACGGAAAATGTTTCCTAATTCAACATGTTTCAAAATAATAAAAAAGAAGACCAGAAACCTTCACGAGGTTTATAGTTTTCTGAAGTTTATATAGAAGGTATAAAGGCTCGGTATCCTCCTTAAGGCCTGTATAACCTTTGTAACTATATATGGAGTTTATAGGACTATATGAAGTTTTAAGGACTTAAGAGTTTTTCGGTCTAGAAGTATGCACAAACGTTATTATGAAGTCTCCGAAGTTCAGTACGTCTATTTGCAAAATACAGAATTCAAGACTGTAAGAACTAAACTAATTTATAAACTTTACCCAGAATATGATGTATTAAATCCCGTTGTTAATCTTTTCATGTTTTCATCTTGTGGGTGTCTACAAATCTCTCAATTTCTTTAAAGTTCTGCTGAGATAAAAATGATGGTTTTCATACTGTATTGATGCACCCCCTTTGGTCACATTGGCTACAATGTGTATGCATACTCAAAATACCCATACTACACTTACTTAACACATTCTAATAAGCAATCACACTGAATACGACGGCACATAGATAGTTGAAATTGTATGCGGATCAGAATATTTATGCCACCATTGGATTCTATTGCAACAAGTACATAAAATACTGTCAGCTTTGTATGAGAGAATTCATAATATTTATTGATTATTCTTTTACGCACCTAGGACCTGGCATGGCCTGGTGGTCAGGGCCCTCGACTCTCAATCTGCAGATCGTGGGTTCAACTCTGTCACCGAACATGCTTGCCCCTTTCGCGCTAAGGGTATTATAATGTGACGGTCAATACAAATATTCTTTGGTAAAGAATAACTGGCGGTGAGTTGTGTTGACTAGCTGCCTTCCTTCTAGTCTATCGCTTCAAAATTAGATACGGCTAGCTCAGACAGCCCTCGAGTAGCTTTGCGTGAAATTCAACAAACTTACAAAAACCACCCATATTACAAATTAGTGGTTTTTCATTATTCAGTTGAGAAAATATTGCATTGAAAGAATACATTTTATTTTAATATTTTTAGTGACATTGAAGAGTTTCCTATTAGTAAAGTTGCAGTTGAAAGCTGCTAGGTTTTACCATTCTATAACTAGAATGATACTATGCCTGTATTCAGATATATTCAAGATTTTTTCCACAATTTCAGTGCATGTGTAATGCGTTCAATTTAATCACATCTTATAAATATGATATACGTAGTTCTGGAATTGCCTGAAACTTTACCTCGGTCAAGGTTACACTCTATAATAGTAATTCTAGAGGATTTATACTCAGTTGGCCAGGTTTTTTATGTAGCCTCTCTCTCTCTCTCTTGGAGTATCGGTTATATTCAAATGTGATGCAGGGGCTTGAACTAGAATGAAATAAGAATGATAACTGATTTAAAAATTATAAGATTGTGGGATACTGTACGAAGACATTGATCTGACCAAAAATATGGTATTAATATATTCCTTTATTCTTTGTTTAATGAGAAAGTGTTTTCTCCTTGCTACAGTAGCCAGAATAAGAAAGCCCACCAGTTTTAAATGTTGACAATAAGGACACTGAAGCCTGTGTCTGTAGATAAAAAGTTTGTTTTTTCTACTTTGCACTAGTATTAGAATCGTTTCGTTGCTGCCCGTGCTAATTTTATTCCTTTGCAAACATTTCCTTCGAGCCGGCCACATTGCAGTACTTAATGTTTATTTGTTGACTAAGTGAACCTTGGAATACCATAATAGCATGAAAAATTTTTTGATCACTTCACGTGGTTTATATGGGTTGTTTTATGTGAGTATCAACTGGGATAAATGGGAACATTTGCAGATGTTTCTCAAATAAAAATCGTTAATATTGAAAAGCGAATGTTTCGATTTTCAAATATCTTTTAAGTTTAAAATACTTTCAGCTTATTTAGGATTTCATGGGACTTTAGTATGTGTGTGTGTGTGTGTTTGTGTGAATATGGTTTTCCAACAGCGAGTGTGATGCTTGATAAGCCCAATAAATAAAAAAAATAAAGACACGAATAATCGTTATTCTTGAATTCTAGTTTGCTCAAAACGCTTCTGTATGAAACAGCTGAAGAAGTTCTCACACTCGAACAAGGAAATAATGTAGAAACTGACAGATCAGATGATAAATCAGGTTAAAGCACCCCAAGATAGCAGAGAATGATTTAGTGTACACAGGTATAATTCTGACGGAAAATTAACAAATTTAAGCTTCAGACAAAATATGTTTGGGGCAGATTTATTTTAAAAATTACCGAGTCTGAATTAATCGATCTTTTCAGTTGATACAATCGTTACTTCTTATTCTTAATGAAAACTGTTACACTAAAATTTTGAAGAAAAAAATGTGACATTAAATATCATCTTTACTGAAATTAGGAATAATGTGATTGCAGTTTACTTGGTTTTATAACTGTTATTATTTATGATTATAACTTATGCAATATTACATTATGTAAAAAATAAATTTCACTTATAGAAAACAATTTGATCTTTTATTTAGAACACAGTAGTGTTAAATATAAAGCATAAATGTAATCCGTTCATAATTACATGCATTTAGTAAATTTTTAATATTGCCTTTGGTGTGAAATGGATAAGCTGAAAATCATTCATAGTAAAATAACAAAATTTGGGGTATAAGAATACACTTCACTTCAAAAACGTAATTCAACTGTAATAAATTTAAAGGTTCTTGATAAAGATGAATTTCCAGAGTTTACATCCTATAAAAAATGGAAAAAAATCCTTTGATATTGTTAGATAAGTTTTTATTAAAATGTTCTGTAGAGATGAGAGTACTAAAACGTCAGTGGTTAAAAAAATTAAAAGTGTTAGATCTATTTATAAGTGAGTACGATTTTTCAGTCTTCCAATGACCAAACTAATGTAGTTTCCACAAATACACAATCATACTTGGCTAATATAGTTTCCACAAATACACAATGAAACTTGGCTAATATAGTTACCATAAAGACTCGATCATACTTGAGTGATGGCATCACCATAGATGTACAGGTTTTAATGGTTTCTGCAGCCATACACTCATACTTAGTCTGACTGTGTACTCATGGAAGAACCGACATACAATGTCACTTGTATTTATGGTTACATTATCGCCAAGCCTGACTGTGTTTTTATGGAAATGATATTTTCTATATGTGTATCTTCAGTAATGTCAAATCATCATTCAAAGTCGAGTCAATGAATCTCAAAGGGAAAGTCATCATTTGAGTTTTATTATGTCTATACGAAAACAAACTTTAATCAAGTCTGAGTGGGTGACTATGAAAACATCATCATCTAAGCCAGAATGTGTTTCTGTGGTGATAATAAAACGGAAAGAGCCAATGCCAAGGAAATCTTACTCAACCAAGTGTAAAAAAAACAAAAAACAATGGTGATTTTTTTCAAACATAAAGGTTCATATGCACACAGTAAACTTTGTTCAACCGTGAAGGTCTTTAAGCTCTAATAGGATTCAAACGAAAACAAGTGAGATCACAAAAAAGGAAAATGACACACATGGCGAAATAGAGTAGAAACGAAAGCTTTAAAAACATATATAATTGAAAACTGAACAAACCTCAAATGTTGGTGAAGAAACGAACAGCAGTACTTCGCAAATAATATGTTCACAAGAATTCCTAGGAATGAAAAGGAGAGTTCAGACAAATAAGAATAAATTTAGAGTAAAGAGTATTTCTCCGATGTTCAGAACGAAGATGGCTCTCTACAGATTTACAAGCACTCCGCTTAGGGATACAAAATCCTGCTTGTTTAAAAAAACTAAAGTAACTATGAAAAAATATGTTATTGTTGTTTTAATGCAAAGCTATAAAATAGCTTATTTGTGCTCTGTTCACCACCGAGAATCGAACCCCCGATTTTAGTGTTGTAAACTTACTACACAGAAGTGTTGTACATATTTATTAGAAGCTAACCGACCAATGAAGTAAGTTGTAGAGTAACTGAAAAAAAAACGGGATTTTTGAGATCTTCAGTGTAAAGACACGTAAAAATATGTAACGTAGTTATAAATAAATACCAGAATGAATAATAAATAACATAACAATAATGACTGATAAAGAGATATTTGAATAATAAATAATGTACAGAACAACTTAGCAGATAGATTGAATAAATGCTAGCGTAATAACGGATAGCTGAAAATAGATAAATAAATGATGATGAATAATATATACGTGAAGTACAAAATAAACAATTGTGTTATAGACAAAAACGCAGTGTTATATAGGTAACTCAGCAACAAGTAAAATACTAATATTGAATAAACTGAAGAATAATAAACAGGTTTTTAATTGTTGAAATATTCAAAATTGAGTAACATGATATAGATCTTTTATCATCAGCATATGAAAAGATGTGCATGAATATGC